TGGCAATTTTGTTTATTTAATTCTAACCTATCAACATTTCAATAAAAAACACCTCAATACCTTCCCTGTAGCAACAAACCTAAGTACTCCTAAAAATTAATGTTATTTAAATAGGAAATAAATCTATAAGGGAATACTCGTATTTTAGTAGAAATCAAGCCCGGTAAATGGAAATTCGCTTAGTCTGCAGGTTTTCTGCGGCGGGGGTATTTTAAGTTTGATGAAGTATATTTTTGTGATAAAAAGTATTGTTCAATACTCGTCACGAAAGTCCGATTTCGGGTCTCAATAGTGTTTCCTATGTTCGTCTTCGACTCACACGGAAAACACTCTCTCGCCCTGAAATCGGACACTTTCGTGACTAGAAGGGAAATATACTATTTTTACACCGATTTCATCTTTAATCAGAAAAACTTATGATCGTCTAAAGAAGTACAACTAATAACAAATCATCATTCTTCATAAATATTACCTAATCCTAATAAATTATTATGCTGGGATTGATGTGTACGGTTTAGAAGTTCCGCCATGGAAAATCAATAGTTCATCATTGAAATTTGTAGAAAACTGTGTAGTCTAGGCATATTAGGAAAGTTAGCAGAAAGTTTAGGTACAGTCCTAATCATCACTTTTCTTTATGTTTTTTGGGTCGCTGAACACGAATATGAGGTTTGCTGACAGATATTTTGCCCGGAACATTGGTTATTTTGTGAAAAACCTTAAAATTTGGGCACTTTTTTTGGTTTTTCGGGCAAATCTCGGTAAGTATGGGTTTTTGAGAAAATCCTGCTTTGTAAAATTAAAGATGACAAAGTTTACTACAAGTTTCCTATATAATGTTTGTTTCTACGACGAACCGTTTTGCCACTAGAGCACGCTAAAAAAGGCTAGAAGTACAAACTATTAAAAACATTGCTAAATGCTGCCGTTTTACATTAGGTTTCCATGGAAACAACCCATGTTACGATAATTTTAACTATTTATTCATGCTAACAAACTGAAACACACTTAAAAATACCCCCGCTACAGCAAACCTGCAGACTAAGCGAATTTCCATTTCCCTGATTGGATTTACACTAAAATGTCTCCTTAGAAATATCAGATTTATACCCTATTTAAATAAAAGTTTAACCAGTACTTAGGTTTGCTGCAACAGGGAGGGTAAAAGGTGTTTTTTGTAAAATGTAAAAATTTGGTATGAAATGAATGCATTGTCCAAATTTGATAAGAATAACATGGGCATTGTAAATTTACAGATTTTTGGAATTTTCTCAGTAACCATTAGGCGCATAACAACGCTTTAATATACTAAATTATTTGTTTTTTTAAGCTCCACAAAACGGTAAGGAAATAAATCGCTAAATTTTAAGTCTATAGGGTCAAAAATAGGAAAAACCAATTTTTACCCCATAAAACCCCACATAAATCTCTGTTCACATAGTCCGATCATGCTGGTTCGCGAACTCGTTCGAATAGACGTAGACACGGTCTACTCGTCTGAATTTGACGTTACCAAAGTTAAAAGTTATCTACAACTCTTTTAATGTATTTCATCCTTTTTTCTTAATCACTACAGCAGTCAACCCTGTGGCCAGCAACATCCCTGTGCTGAGAAAATAAATGGGGGTTTTGTAAGCAGTCAGTCATACATCTTGGCATAGATTTATCAAGTGTGTTTCAGTTCATTATCATGAATAAATAGTTCTAATTATCGTAACATGGGTTGTTTCCATGGAAACCAAATGTAAAACCTTTGTAAAATGGTTAGGGTTTATTTTCGTTTTTTGTTTTGCCCAGCATGATCGGACTATGGGAACAGGAATTTATGGGGGGTTTTATGGGGTAAAAATTAGTTTTTCCTATTTTTGACCCTATAAACTTAAAATTTAGCGATTTCTTTTAATATCATTTTGTAGAGCTTAAAAAAACAAATAATTTAGTATATTAAAGCGTTGTTATGCGCCAAATGGTTACGGAGAAAATTCAAAAAATCTGTAAATTTAAAAAGCTCATGTTATTCTTATTGCGACTAAGTAAACTGTTGTAGTTTGCTTGTTTATGAACATATTTTGATCAATTTTCATGTACCAAATTATTACATTTTACAAAAAACACCTTTTTACCCTCCCTGTTGCAGCAAACCTAGGTACTCGTTAAACTTTTATTTAAATAGGGAATAAATGTGATATTTCTAAGGAGACATTTTAGTGTAAATCCAATCAGGGAAATGGAAATTCGCTTAGTCTGCAGGTTTGCTGTGGCGGGGGTATTTTTAAGTGTGTTTCAGTTTGTTATCATGAATAAATAGTTAACATTATCGTAACATGGGTTGTTTCCATGGAAACCTAATGTAAAACGCAGCATTTAGCAATGTTTTTAATTTTTTGTACTTCTTGCCTTTTTTAGTGTGCTCTAGTGGTGAAACGGTTCGTCGTAGAAACAAACATTATATAGGAAACTTGTAGTAAATTGTGTCATCTTTAATTTTACAAAGTAGGATTTTCTCAAAAACCCATACTTACCAAGATTTGTCCGAAAAACCAATAAAAGTGCCCAAATTTTAAGGTTTTTCACAAAATAACCAATGTTCCGGGCAAAATATCTGTCAGCAAACCTCATATTCGTGTTCAGCGACCCAAAAAAACATAAAGAAAAGTGGTGATTAGGACTGTACCTAAACTTTCCGCTAACTGCCACTTATATCCCTAATATGCCTAGCCTAGTGTAGTAAAAACGGATTTCAAATATTTCAACATATGGTTTAACTAGACATCCCATCCCCATGTTAAGTTTTTAGCCAGATTTATTTTTTCAAAATCGTTGTAGTTGATGTGAGCCACAGACAGATTGCGCTGAATTAAATCACTAAATTCTGCCAAATACAAACTCTATTTTACCAAGTCAATCTTAGGAAATGACTTATGGTAAGCTATAGCAACCACTATGACCCATCATCTTGGTCAGCAAACAAAAATAAGCTGTAAAATATAATTTTAGACACTAGCGCATTCTGTAACTGGCTCATACAAATACGTTTTTTTTAAGAAGATAATCTGCAACAGCTGGTACATATAGATGAGTCTTCTTCAGTATCCAATAGTCAATGGTTTGACACTTACAAAATCCATTGAGAAAACTATTTCAACCTAGCCTATATAAATGACTTACATAAAAACTACATGTCCACACATTGTAGTGGCAGGGTTGCTGGCACTGGTGACCACAAAGGTTAGTTTGGCCACAAACACTCTTGCACTTCAGTTCTCTTACTTCTTCATCAGTCTGGTAACAAAGTTTGGTCGATGTGTGGTTGCAAGGCAGTATGCAAGGTACGACCTCAAGACATAGTATCTCAGCCGGATTACTACTGCAAGCTGCTGTCTGCGTGTGATTGCAAGCCAGAAGAAACTTCACTGGGAACTTACAAGGGCCGCAATCTTCGCCACAGGGTTTGTCACATGGATGTTGAAATTTGCATGTCCTGTTGACAACCAGAACTAAGTTACAGGACGTGGTTTATATTGTGTTTTGATATGTTGTACGAGGAGGCTTGGAGAGTTGAAAAACAATTTGTTATGTTGTTGGCTCTTGCTTTAAGAAGGCTTGACCTTTGCCGGAATTGATCTAGGGGTCAGTTTTGAGATGCAAGGGAGAGGAAGTATTTGGAGACAGGTCCCATTGCGGGATTTGGAACCCAAAGTTGAAAAAAGTTGGATCTTTGAGTCGAGGTTAGTTTTAAATTTTCTTTGGGATTTTTACTCAAATATATTTACTGTTATTTAATAACTACTTAGTTCCCACAATTCTTTACATTCTTGACAACATTTTTGTATAGTTTTTCCTAAAAGTGACTTTAGGAAAAACTAAGGGGAAGAGAAAAACTTAGGGAATCCATGTAGGTCGGTCATCCAACAAAGTTGGGTAGATCCATCAGAACCATTGTGAAACCCATCATACAAACGACAAGACAAGTACATAAAACCAACAAAACATAAACAGGGTTGATACAAATATGGAAGACATATTGCGAGCAAATACCTTTCACAGGGAGCAGAGCACATGTAGCGACCCTTATGTTCCTGATCTCTAGGATGACAGTGGTACTTGCACTCGTGTCCACAACCGAGGATCTTCTCACACTTGCGACTGCAGCCTCCCTCTGGCATCTGCTGGAACATGTCTCCGTCCTTGATCAGAGCCTCGGTGTCTGGGTGGTTCTCACAGAACACTCTCAAACTCTCACCTGGGCAAAGTACACTAGTTCTAGTTCAGTACCAGATAAAGCCCTTACGGATACGGTACTTATTGCAAATCATCTTGACAATAGGGGAACTGCTTCAAGAGATAATTATTACTGTTATGGACGACCGAAGGCATTTTTTCCAGGTGGGCGAAATAGTATCTGGTTTCAGGAATTTGAGGAAAGACCTCCAAAAAAGTTCAATGTACATGCTTTAAAACATATTTTCTTTCTTCGTAACAGATTCATCATAGTTTTTCGTCCCTCAAATATGTCTGAAACATGTCAGGGCTTACTTAAATTAATACTTTCCCTTACTCTTCCTTTTGGACATCCATGATTATTATTATCACCAATTATGATAGGTACGCAGCTTAGAATATTTTACACAAATATCAATAAAGAAAGGATGATTGTAGAATAGAGTAAGATGCCTTGTTAAGCTTTGTTACTGACTGATCAGCTAATTCTTTATCCATGGCCACATCAATGACCGAAATGTCCAGTTTCAATGCTAAGCCTAATTGCTATAAAATGACAATCAAATGTATACATTGATCAAAAGGAAACAGTCAATAGTGAAAAAATTGACTGAAACAAAGGTATTTACGGGCTGTGGTGATTCAATTAGGTAAATTTAGCCTATTGACTATCATGGCCTTCAAATACTTTAGTTTATCTACTTTTCTTGTTTATTATAAATTATATATTAGTCCACAAGTTTAAATTAAATAAAAAATCTTGCAAACTCATTACTTCATTACATATCCTCATACTTGCCTATGGCATTATGCTCCATCAACCTTTCCCTAACTTGAGGCCAAATCTGGCTGTTTTCTGCCAGACAGTCCATATTGCCGATGATGTAGAGGCCATCTCTGGCTCGAGAAAGGGCGACACACACTCGGTTTTCAGTTTTTAGGAAACCGATGTTCCCTTCTTCATTACTGCGCACAAGTGATAATATTACAATTTTGTTTTCTTCGCCTTGAAAGTCATCTACTGTTGTTATCCGTAAGTCTCTCATCTCTGATGAAACTTGGTCTCTCATCTGGAAATGGTTTCCTCGTGAGAGCATCATCAACATATTATATTTGAAATGTAATTCTAATTCATATAAGATCACTATGTGGGAATCGTTTAAGTGTCCAAAGACATTGTTGATTGTTTAGGAATTTAGCACTATTTAGGATGAGGTGAAAGCAGTTTGGCGAGCGTCCTTTTATTGAAATAAATGACCCTGTTGTAGACGTAGAATAACTTAGATCAGAAATATCATTGAAAACATAAGAACGATAGCGAATCCATGAGGGGCCTAAGCGTCAGTAAATACGCTAACGATACCTCGTATTGAACTCAAACACACAATCTGCAAAGTATCGGTATTGTACTAAAAACATCAATAAGATATCAAATATTTCTAAATTCATTCAATAACCATCAGGAAGGATTAATAATGCCAACAGTTAAGAATATTTTTAATTTTACACACTTTTTTCATGCAACTCCCAAACAATGGTGGTATTCTTCGTTTGTCAACAAAGCAGAGTTCTAATTAATTAGCATAAAAATGCAATATCCTCGTTATCAATTATTATAACAAATTACATTGCTTGCCCGTCCATCTCTATATTAAATAGACCAACATGAATTTTGTGATAATTGTTTTGAAGCTGCCATGCATCCGATGACCATGTTTAAGGTGTCATTGGATGGGTCGTACTGGGTCAACCTGTAGAGTTGCCACCAAACAAAAACTGTTTGAAATTCCGTCAGGGCTCTGGCCCAGTGTCCTTCAAAGTTCCTATGTTTTTCTTAGGGAGAAAATGTTTGTTTAGATTTGAACAGATAAATACTTTGAAATTTAGATTAATATTTGAAACAGCTATACTAAAATTAAACTAAAATTAAAATTAATGGAAACATGAGCTATATAAGGATTTATTTGATTTATTAAAATGATAATAATGCACTCTATTTTAGTGGTTTAAAAATTGCTGTTTCACTGCAAAACACGTTTATAAAAGTTCAATTAAAGCCCGTGTTTTATCTATGAATGGTCAATATCCATATCGAAGGAACAATACTTTTTAATCCAATTTTATCTATTGTAAGGGATGGCACCTGCATTCATCTGTATGATTATTTATGATAAGAATAAAAAGACAAGAATAATGATAGGAATGTATTGATATTAGTTCTAAACAAGTGTTCCATCTCCGAAAAGAATATTTGATTATATCGGAAGGTAGTGTGGGCGGGTCCCAAAAGTTTTGGAAAACGTCATTGTACAAAAACTGTACAATTTAGTTATGGTTCTATGGTTTCATTCCTGGGTACATCAGGCTTGATTAAGGAGTGACTGCAGGTAAAGGAATGAGTTTTGAAAAACATGTGGAGGAAATGTGCAAAAAATGAAAGGAGCCTTCGTGAAATTAGCAGGCCAGAGCCAATAGAGTCATAACTGGAAAGCATTTTATGACGCTGTACAAAGGGCGTTGAGCCAGCAATGCTTTACGGATGCGAGTTCTGGGGTAAGGATGCAAGGGAGATAAGATTGAAAAGGAAAGATTGAAAGGAGTATGCAAAGAAGAGTTTTGTGGAAAGTAAGGAAACCACACAACACAGTATCGCATGATACGATTACGGGTTTGACCAGAGACCACCACTCAACCTGCTCATTGAAGAAAGGATTTTGATTTTGAAGGACAAGGCCGCGGGTAGGACTACAGCGGAAAGCAAGAGTGGAGAGAGTAGAAGAGATGAGACATTAGAAGAGTAGCAAATGCACTGGGAGCGGATGAGAAAGAGAGGAAAATGTTCGGATATATGCCAAACATCATAAGGAGACTGGAACAAGATTAGGAGATGGGCCAATATTGAACCCAGTTTGTCACAGGACATGGAGAATTTCAAGGCCAATTTGTGGGGATTTAACTTGGTGGAAGATGAGGTATGCAGCTGCGCAAAAAAGATATAGACCACGAGTCATGTATTGATGAATCGTCCACTTCAGGAGACAAATAGAGAGAACAGGTAAAACTCTTTGATAGGAAAGGTCTAAAATAGGATCAATTAGAAAATAAATATAAAGATGAATGAGAAAATAAAACATGATGAGAGACAAGGAAACAATTGAGACGTATAGTAAAATAGCTAGGGAAATAGGAAGAACCAAGGAAATGCTTTGAAAAATAAACAATGAAAAAACAAAAGGAATGAAAACTTCCCCATCAAGGGGAGAGGTAAGGTTTAGAGCAAATAACAATGATCCCTATCGCTCAAGTCAGTAGGGGGAAGGGTGCCATGCTGTTAGGGCTTTGGACACATAGTAAGTCTGGAATAGGATTGAAAGTGGCTGAAGCCTAAAAAGAAAGAAGATTCTTCAAGGCGAATTGGCCTGGCAAATAAGTCCCAGACTTAAGCCAGAGGTGGTGGTGGGAACGAGGGGCTTTGGTTTATCATTAGCTTATCATCGACTAATCTAAAGAGAATCTTTTACTAACTATCACAAAACGACTGCAGTGCTCAAACTGCGAACTCAATTAGGTTTTTACCATTTCCACCCAACAATACCAAGAAACCAGAAAACCATCAAATATAAAAAGATCAATACAAATCCTTCTCCTACGTCTAGATTGCGCACGATTATGTATGCCAGGTTCGCTAGTATATCCTTAATATTAATAGTATTCATATAAAACAAACAACAAACTGTCATATAACACTTTTGCTTACAATATAAACTTAATCATCGTCACTTGGGAGAGCAAAGAGATCATGATTATTTCATTACTTAATTTTTATTTTATTTATTTGTTATTTGTTATTGCTTCATCATTACATGATGAAATGTGCTCTCATTGATGATGCTTGCATCATCATCGTCACCCAAGATCGTGATCATTTCTCCCGATCAAAGGAGATCATCAATTACTCCTGTCATCGCAACAAATTATTAATTTCGAAAATTAAAATTTTAATTTTTTATTTCTAAAAATCTTATTATAATACTTCCCTAAGGCGCAGCCTAGTTGGCCTATTGGTAAATCCGGCCCTGCTTACTAGCATAGGAGTAATATATGGGATTCTTAGAAAAATCAGAGTGTCACGCTGTTCTTGAGAGTTCCTGCCTTCCTACAACACAGTTTCAATGCAATAATGTATGTAGGTTTTTAACGTTTAAGTTGATGTACAAACCTTCTTGATTTTTTTCATTTGTCCGCTGTAAGTAGCCAAGATGGTAACTTCCTCTGCTGAATAGCCTTGCAGAACTAAATAGTGAGCGAGTTCCAACACAAACTTGGCTTCATACTTGTTCAGATGACTCTGAGTATCCAACAACTGAAAGAAAATAATAATAATTTATAAATAAAATACTTTTTTAAAACAAAATTTTTCAAACGCACTAAAAAGTAGAAAATAATGTATATCTTCCAGCAAAGGCAAAAGAGAAAAAGAAGAGACCCCGTCTTAGACAGGGGAGATGGCAAAAAAGAACTTGCCATGCTCACAAAAAAACCCCATAAGGATATTGAGTAATGGTGAATATACTCTGTTTTTGTACAAGAAGACGAATATCAATTCTACCAATATCAAGCATAAACCTCAAGGCATATGTAAGGCAGTCAGTTAAAAGAAATCCGAGAGTCTGGGACGGTACCGCAGTGATTAGTGATCTTCCCATGTTAAAACCTCCTCAGATTTTTTCAAGGAAATTGGTGTTGGAGGGGGTACTCGAGGCAGGACTGGGTGCAAGTTTGATGGCACAATAGATCTTTTAGGTCGCAGTATATATTCCCCACGAACAGCAGTATACAGTTATTTAGTAACTAATCACTTACGTGCTCTTCAGGATTTTTGTGGTTGATAAAGTAGAGGTTGCAGTGTACACCTTTAATATCCGGACGGTTTTTGGTACTTGAATGACTCATGAGTTCAGGATAAATTGATGGTACAATCAAAGATGCAAATTCTGGTCTCATTCGGTGTTGAACGTCCAGCGTGTAGCAATTCATTCCGTTCCTTATCATACGCTCAAAAAGTGAGATGTCAAAGTTATATTTCTTGCATAGCTGGTAGACAGCTGGGTTTGGTTTCAGTTGTTTGTGATCTCCTGCACAAAACATGTAAATTGTTCATTTATAGTTGAGTTCTAATGTTTAGCGAAGCTTAGTAAATTCAAAAATACTACAACAGCTAATGAGATTAATCAAGTATCATCCAGCTTACTAAAGTTGTACTTTCTGAAGTAATTTTTATGTATAGAAGTAAACCAGTTGCGGAAAACCTGGAGACTAGGGGAATTCCTCGGTTGCCTAGATTCTTTCCAAGTAAATCGAGGTAAATAAATAAAAATGGCTCAAAGAGTATTTATATTTTCTGCTTCTATAGTTTCAAAATATTTTTTGATTTGAATTTTAATAAAAATTCAAATATTATATGAAGAAATCTATACAAACAACAAGCAGCCTACAGCAAATCGGATAAGGTAAAAGACAACTATTACGTCGAATAATTAACTACTGTAATTTGTCTGTGACTCTCGTATTTTGAACGAATATACGAGTAACCGGTAGTATGTTAAGTAAATATATTTAACTGTAGACTATAGATAAATTTCATTTCATAAATGAATCACTCCACTCACCAATCAGTATGAGATGCTGGCAACTGCTACTGAGAGACGTTACTATATGTGACTCTAACACTTCAGCTGCCTCTTCTATTATTACTATAAAATATAAAATCATACATTGAACGCTATCTATGTTACGTAATTGATTTTAGGATGCATAACCGTAAACTTTGGTGATCAAGCAGTTAGTTTGGTGCCATTGACTATTGGATACTGAAGTTATTTCAGTAGTCAAAGATGGTGCTTATAAGCATGCTTAGTTACTCCCATCTGGTTCATTCAAATTCAAACACAATCTAAAGGATTTATATTACACTACTATCAGACTTTGGATCCAATATTCAAACTTTTACATCCCCTTTTTAGTAATATTTGAGTTCTAAATTAATGACAATAATATATATTTGAATCATTGACTATTTATATATTTGTCAATTGTTGATCAAGGCCAATGGGTCTGTTGACACTGTTTCCTTCTCATATACCAACTTGTTAATAGAACTAACTGGACAAAAATTAATAAATATAATAAACTAAATGTTCTGTTATTTTACTGATACATAAACTGAAAAAAAAATAAATACAAAATACAAGGATTTCAATAATCCAAAAATATATCAAATATAGATTGGATTAATTCAACACACCAGGGTGCTTATTTCAAGGCGAAAATCAAAGAAGTTTAAGTGTTGAACGAATTAAGCTCTTTTTAAGTATAAACTTTAACTTAACTTAAACTAAACTACATAAGTTAGTTTAACTTAACTTAAACTTTAATTTAACTTTTAATTAATTAATTTAACCCAAAATCTGGTTTTATCCTTGGCCCGCCTTGCGTATTGTACATATTGTAAAAGTAAATGTCTCCTTGTGTGTGTTTCTTCGTTATATGTTTTAAATTTGACAATGGCAAGTGCGAGTAATTCATGTTTAACGAAAAAAATTCAAAGGATTTTAAAATGGGGTTAAAACCCCGAAACTAGTAATCAACTAGAATCAATATTATTGATTGACGACAGGTAAGTAACCTTATTTATGTAAACTTTATCCTCTCTTACAATGAGTGTTTAGGAAAGGATGTATGTCAAATACACGCGTTTTGGATGGTATAAGCGTTTCAAAGAAGAGAAAGAAGATGTCGAAGATGATCAGCTCCCAGGACGTCCTTCAACCTTAAAGATGGATGAAAACATAGAGAAAATAGAAAAAGTAATCCGCCAAGATCGTCAATTAAGTATCCGTGCAGCTGCAAAGACTTTGGGAACTGACAAAGAATCAGTTCGGCAAATATTACATGAAAGTTTTAGTATGAGAAAAGTGTGTTACAAAATGGTGCCAAAAATCCTCACGCCAGAACAAAAGGAGTCACAGATAGAAAATTGTTCTGACATCTTAAAAAATATTAGGGAATATCCTGAACTGTTGGAAAGATATTTTAATTATGAAGAATCGCGGGTTTTTACGGATGACCAAGAAACTAAACGACAATTAGTGCATTAGAAGAGTCCAAATTCACCACGAATGAAGAAAGCGCGAATGTCAAAATCAAAATTCAAGGCCATGATGATTTTTTTTTGTTTTTTTTTACATCAATAGACATCTGAATTTAAATTGGGTCCCTGAAGGTCAAACCGTAAACAAAGAATACTATCTTGAGGTTTTGTTTGGCCACCATCCATTAGCGAGTGTGAAGAAAGCGATGAGATTTGTGGAAGAACAAGTCGTGGATCTTCATTGGGACAACACCCCAGCCCACACTGCACTTTGGCCAAGCGTGAGATCCCTGTGTTGCAACATCCACCCTACTCACTAGACCTAGCTCCGTGTGATTTCTGTATGTTCCCAAAATTGAAGGAAGCGTCGAAGAGGACCAGATTTTAAGACTTTTGAATCTGTGAAACAAAAAGCGACAGAGACTTTGAACATGCTGACAGAAAATTTACTTTCTAAAAAAACAACTTTAAACACTGTTATATTGTTTGGGAAGTAAATTAAGTCTTACCAATTTCTGCTCCCAGCTTATTCAGTGTTGCACGATTTGAGGCGGCTCCAGACGTAGTAACTCCGACTACTTTTGCCTTTTTCAAAATGTCCAAATCCGCTCCACTTCTTGCCTCATCAATCATCTCTTCTGCAGAACGAATGGATCTTTCTAATCTCATCAATTGCCCCCTCATGTCTTCTGCTAACCTATGTAACCACGAATGGTACAACAACCATCTTTGACGGTTGGATAAAGCCCACATTCCCATTTGTTTTGCTATTGAGCATATTTCCCAAAGCTCTCTTGGCTTGTTAGATTTCTTCATGTTAAGCATTCGTTTCAAGAAACAAACTCTTCTTGTTAGGTCATCTATATGGGATTGCCATATACATAGTATGTAATTCTTTCTGTTCACGTCCATACATTTTTCATCAACTTTTTGCAGTTCCGATGCTTGGAATTCCAATCCTTCTCGAATTTCTCTTAAAGAACGAATTGTAAGAGTAAAACAAGGTTTGAGTGATGTAGTTTTTGTTCCATCTTCCCGCTCATTCATGTTTTCTATCGGTTCTTGTTGGGCCACCCAAGCAATATCATCATAGACTTCAGAGTAATCATCAATGTACGTCTCAACATAACGTTGCTTGCTTTCTTCAGAGAAATACACACTGTCTTGTTGAATAATATCTTTGCTGTCACTTGCAGGACGGTTACTATAATCTTGTTCTGAAAACACTTCCTTCTGTACAAAATCATCGTTGTGGTTGCTCATCTTGTTAGCTGTGTCCAATAAATCCTCATTTTGGATGGCTTCAGTTTCTTCACTCATAAAAACTCCCTCCATCAACCAATCATCCAGGCTTATTCTGAGCAGTTCTTCCCTCAACTCATGAGGTACATAAGGAAGCACGTTGTCCACTGAGAGGATACCATGTTTACTTAGACCATCCAACTGATACTGTTTCCTGAAGTAACTCTTTGTCAGTTCTTCTAAAACCTCATGAAAAGAAGCAAATCCGTAAGAGCCTCGAAGTTCCTTTATATTATACTTTTTTAGTTTTTCATTTTGGCTCCTTCCACCCATTCTGACTATCTTTTTGGTTGCATTCAGTATCCCTTCTAGAAACTGATCCAATGCGTGATTTTTATAGCACACAACCAAAATTGGAGAAGAACTTCGTACATTGTCTAAAAGTGCTCTGACTATCTGTAGACCGAGGAAAGTCTTCCCTGTGCCAGGTGGACCTTGGATCGCAACAAACTCATTGGTCAGAGCTGCCTTTAATGCTTTTTTCTGGGATGGATTGAACTTTACCTCAGTGAACTCGGGCCAGTATCGATCCAGGATATTAACATGTGTTTTTCCAAAGAATAAGTACTTGCTACCCTGCAACTTTTTTATGTAGGCAGGATGGCCAGGTTCTGAGTTTACTTCAACTATGTACTTCTCCATCGGAAAGTTATCTGTAGGCATTGTTTGGAGTGCACTCAGCACGTGGTAGTAGGGGTCAAAAAATACTTTAGAAACTGCCATGGTGAATTCATTTGCATAGATATTGTTACAAACTTTAAAGTAATTTATATCAAGTTTAACTGTGACTGTTTTATTTTTACCGTTGACATCAATGACAGTTCCTACAAAGAACGATTTAAAGGAATCTGTAGTAAACAAAAGAAGGGACCCAAAGATGAAAAATCGAGTAACAATTTCCCACTTTATGTTACCGACCAACTGAACCACATGGCCAAACTTTCCTTTGTCTATTGTGGCATGCATTATCTTAATCCCGTGGTACATTAAAACTTGGGTGTTTCTTTTTTTATCAATGCTGGAATGAGATAAATGCTCTAAAACTCCTTCTCGAACAGGAGCCACAAAGTCCTCGCGAAGCAGAGCAAATTGAACGGTGAGATAATGGTCAACATTTGTGTAGGCTCCTTCAACAATGTTCTTTTTTAGCTCGGGTGGTTTGTGAAATAAATCTTCCACCGTTGGTAGAACACTCATGCTTCTCATGTTTTCAACATCTGTTGATGATACTTGCTCTTTTTTAAGTTCCTCAATTTTAGCCTTTTCGTTTATTAGATTTGCCATTTCATCAAAATCAAAATGTTGGCAAGTAATGTTAATTTTACCTTCTAATCTAATTAGAATGTTTTTTAAATAAATCAGTGAAGGGGGTAAAAAATTCAGATTTGATGCAGGTAAATGTTCGATAGCTAATGTAGACAGTCTAAAGAAGTTTCTGAAGAATCGTCCAAATTTTTCACTTCCATCATCTGTTTTTATCATCTCTTTAGTTTTTTCTTGTATCAGTTTCAAAACTGAATCTAAAAAGTGCCTCTGAAACACCCATTGAAGGATTTTCAATTTCTTTGTTGACTCATCAACGAATGTCCGGCTTAATAAATCCATAAATGATATCAACACCTCGTAATCAATTTTATTAGAACTAAAAAGCAAATCATGCACTTGTTCAAAATCGCATGCACCTTGATCTTCCAAAACTTGTTTTAGTTCACTTTTTACAAGCTCTCTGTTGCCTTTTATTTTTTTTAATTTAGTATTCTTTCTTCTGTGAGTAAAAGGATTGTGCTTTCCTTTTCTAGCATAATTTCTCGGATTTTCATCTAATGCTCTCGACCACTGATTAGCTGCCATTTTAGCTATTCATATAGCACCATTCATAATCTGAAACATTGATTTACAAATTAAAAGCAATGCTATTTCAGAAATGAAACTATCTACAGTGAGTGCTACACAATTGTTTTATGACTTCCATAACAAAGTCCTAAATGTATAAAATCGAATGACTGTTACAATGTTATTTAACCGTACATAGACTACTACAACATTTTGGTTAAAAATTACGCCAAGCTTTTTTAAAGTATTTTTCATACATTCACCTGACACAGTGGGCTTACTTGCACTGTTTATAGTACAGAAAGTTGCTAATTGCTGCATTTACTTACTTTTGCCGCACACCAGTATTCCAACACACAACACAAAACTGCATTCTTTTATTAGACACGTAATCCATGTACGCTTGGAAATAGGTTGGCAACACTTAAAGATACTACGACTACAATCAGCTGGTCCAGCGCTTCCAATTATTTCGTTCAACGCTTGTAGTTACCTAGTGTGGTATAGTGTTTGAAACACTAATTTTTTATATATGCTTTGTAGTAACTGTAGGAAAAATATAATGTATAACACAAGTGAAAAGTTCCACTTCGCACACTAGCCACAGAAATAACTATTTCGTCATACTGCACCAAAAACAGCTGTTTTAATACATGCGCTGCGGGTCTAAAGGGGGCGATGTCTACTTGTCCCGGCGTCTAGTTGTACCCATCGATATGTTGTACCTGCTGCATTTTGGTGACATGCGTCTAGTTGTACCTCGTCCAAAGCTGTAGGTACAACTTGACGATGGTGCGGACGTCTAGTTGTACCTACGACTAGTTGTCTCTACGTCTAGTTGTACCTCTTAAAAATCTACAGGTACACCTAGTCGGGTACGCCACCGTCTACTTGTACCTCATACGTCTGCGTCTACTTGTACCTACGACTACTTGTACCTACGACTACTTGTACCTACGACTACTTGTACCTACGACTAGTTGTACCTACGACTAGTTGTACCTACGTCTAGTTGTACCTACGGCTAGTTGTATCTCCCCTTCAACCTGTCACCAGTTTAAGGGATTTATTTTATTTCTTTCAAAATCATACAATCTTACAACATTTTTTTATAAACAATTTGCTACAAAAGCCAGGAAAATTTGGCTTGTCTGCAGCTCATTGAGGAACCTCTGTTCTTGATAACAATGTACTTGTGTCCCTTGGTCAGTCCTTATCCATATTACACTTTGATTTTCCTCATTTCTTGTCAAGATCTGCTATCATTGTTTTTTTTTTTTTACTTAAACTCTACCTTTCTATAGAAAACTAACATTAACTAGCTTAAACAACAACTTTAAACAATTATCTTAAATAAATAAATTCAGAGTTTAAAAAAACAAGTAATTGAGAATAATGAAGTGTTTTTGTATGGTATTTAGTCACGAAGATGAAATCGACCCGTGGTACGATTGCTATTTTTCACCAAACTATACAAAACTGAGAAAATATATCCTACTAATATTATAAATGAGAAAGTTTGGATGTATGGATGGATTGATGTATGTTTGTGACAAGTAAACGCGAAAAATACTGGTCGGATTGGGCTGAAATTTGGTATGATGATAGCTCACATTCCCGATTAACATATAGACGCATTCTTATCTTAAAAGTCCTTTCGGGCTCCGCCCCAGTGGCTCTGGAGTTTCCCATGTTAACCTTATGAGTAATCGTATTTAAAATGAATAAAAGAATTTCGTCAGCTGTTTCAACTACACAAGTTGGTTCTATGATATTGAATAGCATTAAAAAGTTACAAGGTTTACCAACAGGGTGCAGTAATATTATTTTTTTTACATTTATGACAACAGCTATCCTATTAAGGCCATAAAGGCATAATTTTGTTTTTAAAAGGCTTATGTGTAACTATTTTATCAACAGATGTAAACATCAAAATGTTTCTATTTCGTGTTCTCTTCCCGTTACAAAGCACGGGTACAACAGCTAATCAATAATATAGTAAGCATGTTTCTTTACAACCTTTTTATCAGATCGTGAACATCACAGAGAAAATATCCGCATATCGGTGGAAATGTATTTTCCTGTCGATCTACAGAATGCCTTTATAAATAAAAATAGGCTAAAAGGACATAAAAAAAGAATTACAAATTTTTAAAAACTAACATGGGTTTAACGGGTTATGCTGGTGACAAAATAACAACTAATTATAAAAATAAAATCAAAACAAATGGAAAATATTCCAATCACATGTATTATTTACAGTCTATGTTAAATAGAGAAGTCTGTACATTGCATAGTTTTTGTCGAGTTTTCAACCGCTCGACCTCAACTTCATTGTACACTTCATTGTTCATTGTTCACTGGGAAATCCATTGTTAACTATAAGAAATGCACACTAATCAATGCAAATACTTTAAGGTTATGTGAAAAAATATTTAAAGGAATCAGCAAAAATAGTAATACATAATTGCTAGGCAGCGGTCTATTGCAATTCATTAAGGATATACTGCTTGTATATTTAATTATATATATAAATGTTTTAATTAAATAAGCGATTTTCGGTACTAGGGCTGGAAAATTTCAATTACAACTATAGCTGCCATTTCGACCCTGGACAGCAATGCGTAGCTTTGAGCCTCCAATTAACGTCTGTAAAACTACTAAAACATCGTAGTGCGGTGAAAAATATTTGCAAATCATACTCAATTGACTCGGAACACTGCAGTCCTAATTTAATTAAGGGTATTGTTAAAAAGTACTCGTGCAGTAATCAATTAAACAGGGTAACGAATTGAAGTATAGATACAACTAGACTAAAAGGACGCAAAATACGCTTAGGTACAACTAGTCGTAGGTACAACTAGACGTAGGGACCACTAGACGGAGGGACCACTAGTCGTAGGGACTACTAGTCGTAGGGACGACTGGTCGCATCCGTATAAGCTAGGTGATACTATTTGTCGGTGGGATACACGTCTAGTTGTACCTACGTCTACTTGTACCTACGTCTAGTTGTACCTCCTAAAAATCTGCAGGTACAACTAGTCGGGTGTGCCACCGTCTACTTGTACCTACGTCTAGTTGTACCTACGACTAGTTGTCCCTAGGCCTCGAGGTACAAGTAGACGTAGGTACAACTAGACGGCAGGACAACGAGACGCGGCCCCGTCTAAAGTATAAGTTAGTAATTATAAGTTAGTAAGTATAAGTTAGTAAGTATAAGTTAGTAAGTATAAGTTAGTAAGTATAAGTCAGTATAAGTTAGCTCTTATACTTCGTAGGGAGTAAAAATCTGCTGTTGTAAACTGCGAATGTTAGCAATCACATGTATCGAGAATTTTTATCGATTGATTGATTTAATGGGTTGAAGCTTATTGGTGGATTATTGTCAATAAGCAACATATCGATAGTTGATGGTAAAATGTACAGTAAGTAATGAGACTGTAATCTATATAAATAAAATTAGAGTTTTGTCTGTACATTGCTCAGAATTATATACTTTTAGGTTATTTTTACGTTTTATACATTAAAGAAGCAGAAACGAGTCTTATCTCAATTTCTGTCTGTCTGTCTGTCCCTTTGTCTGTAACACTCAAGATTGCATTTTACGCAATCTTCTCCGTGAAAACCAGAGTACATATTAAGATCCAAGTCATTTTAATGTATTCACTGGATTGGCGAGAGTGACTTTAGTGATTTAAATATAGCCTCACTACTTTGTAAATAAAATTACGGACGTTCAAAAATGCAGTTTTGTGCGATTTTTGTCAAATTTTCGTCCAATTTTTATCACATAATCGTCTATGAAATAACGAACAGCTGTTCGGATCAAGATTATTTTTTCTAGCTGTCAATGACATGTTTAAAAATGTTGTTTACAAATACCGCAACTATTTCGAATCACGTTTTGAAATCAAATCCCAACCAAGTGAGATTAAAAACGTTTTTCTTACATAACGGATTTAATTAATCGCAAGTGCAATAATATAGTCTAATAGTGTAACCGTAAATGAAATTGAATAACTAGACATCGTCCAAATCGGAACCAGAAATTCTTTGAGTATAAAATGTTTCTTGAGTTTTGACAACCAGAAAGAAGAAGACCTTGAATCAGTGTTGTATAGGGCTGTGACACTGAAATGGTCGTCGCCAATAGCTTACAAAAAAGGTTTCCACTCATTGACGGCGCTTCAATGGCGGTTGTGTAAAGTGTAAAGTAAAAAATCACAACTGCAGTGGGTGATTGTAACAGAGGTTTAACAGAGGAAGTGCTAAACTCGCTTTTCCAATGTGTCACTTTCTGTTTCTACTCACCGTGTGATGCAATCGCTGGACCATACAGCCAATAGGCCCATAGCTCATATCTTGGGTACGTAAGCCTACATATTTATTCATAACAACCTTTTTGACGACGATCCTTGATACCGGTACTTTTCCATAGAATACATGGC